ATCTATCCAACCTAGAATAGATCCTACTCCTTGCATATGTATTATTAGTCCATGTGAAAGCCGGCCCAACAAAACCAGGATCAACCAATTCATTTTCTGCCAAAAAATCACCCATTTCACTAGCAGCTAGTGAAAATTGAAATGGCTTACCCCCTTTCTTCTCCTCCTGAGACAGAATACAGTTAAAATCCCCCCCCCCCCCCCCCCAGTAAGGGACAATCAACTGAATGAGACCTGGAAATATCATTCCACAAAAGTCTTCTACTGGTACCTATCCTTGCCACCATAAACTACAGCAACCTCCCAATCAATATTGTTAGCCATAATAAACTTTCCCATAACACACTGATTAGTTTGAACTAACACATGAAAAGAAACCACAGCCATCCTCCATAACACAAGTATACCACCAGCACTACCAACAGCCGGTTGGAAAACAAAATCCCAATCTTTCCCATCAAGTCTATCAATATCCCTTCTACAAAAAAATTCCATTTTAGTCTCAAGCAACCCAATGAAACAAACCTTGTGCTGCCCAATGAGGTGTCGTAAGTAATTCCCCTTCTCTTTCTTACGAGCACCTCTATAGTTCCAACATAAGATGTTAAACATTATCAACCAAAGGGGAAGCGTCCCCGCTGCAAAGAGCTTCAGAAAAAACATCTTGCCACTGATCAACAAGATCTAACTCTTTTAATTTGCTATGAACAGATTTCTCAATCACATTTACCATCTGTTCATTGCAAGAAAAAAAAATTCCTCATTAACTTCTTGCTTCTTCTAATACCCGACAACTTCTAAAGAGAGCCAATAAGAGACACTTCCTTAGTATGACATTCTTTAGAGTTCCAACATTTTTTTTCCTTCAGCACACCAGATTTACTTTTGAAAAATTTCAAAGCTTTAGGCACCAGTAACTGGGCAGGGGAAGGCTTAACTTCCCTACGGTTTTTCCTTTTCACCACAGGCCGAGAAAACGAATCCTGGATAACAGGGCTTTGAAAAGAATTTTGTACAACTTGTTGTAAACCAATCTGCTCTTTAACCCGATCAATACCTCCAGGCTTCTCCAAGAACATCTGATGCTTCCCAATAACTTCAACACTTTGTTGTACAAGTGATCGCACCACCCCATTAGGTTCAATAGATTTTTGCACTCTAGCTACTTCCCTCCAAACTGATTTAGAAGCAGGAGCCGGAACCAAAGGTTTAGTATTAACAGTTTGCGTCCTATTTCCCACTATATTATTAAATTGTCTCCTCCTTCTTGTCACAATGGTCCACTCACCCACGTCATTATCAACATCCAGCTGATCCCCATGTAAAGGTAAACCTTCAGCATTCACTCTAACATCACCATCAGCTAACTGATCATTTCCCCTATGAGTTCCAGAACCGGCCATCTTAGTCTGATCTTCATCACAATTGACCTTCCTCACTTGTTGTTTCACCTGACCCAAATTCGCCTTACACAAGTCCTCTTTGTGTCCAACCTTCCCACACTTTAAACAAATTAAGGGGATCCCCTCATATTCAATGGGTTGAAAATACCTCCCATTCAAACCTTGTGCCCAAACTCCCTTAGGAAGCCTCTTCGATAATTCAACTCTAACACATAGACGAGCAAAAGCGCATCTGTTCCATAACTTCATTTGTTCATCCATAAAGAGTGGAACTCCAATACCCGTAGCCAATCTTGCAAGGTTTGATTCATCCTAATATTCCAAAGGCAAATTTGGGAGACGAATCCAAACTGGAGAAGTAAATCCTCTCAAGGATTTAGCAGATAAACTTGAAGTCCATTGATCAATCCCATTGATCTGCACTGCCACATACCATGGACCCCCCAACAAGACATTGTCCCTCGCATCCTTATTTTCAAACCAACAAAAGAAACAGTCAGATCCCATTGGATTGATCTATGTAAGCCAAGATGTCCCCATTTCCTTTGCAACTCATTTTGGACCACATAAAATGGGAGCCGGCGTCCCAACCAAAGCTCTGTCCAGCTTTTGAATATTCTCCTTTGCTTTGTTTAAATTCAGATTAACTAGGCCATCTTCCCTCAAAAAACTGCTAATATCCTCAACCAAGTTCAATTGAACTGCTGGAGACTTCTTCCACACATTGGATACCATTCCAACATCATCCACCTCCTTCTTGACAAATTGAGAAGGACCACGCTTACTCAACTGCTGTTCAGGAGATAAACATCCCGAAGAGCCTTTTCGCTGAACACCTAACGTGCTTCCAGCAATCTTAGAGGAACCACACAAATCAGCATTACCCCATTTCCCCTTAACCGCCTGATCATCAGTTTTCATATCCCCAAAAGTAAATTTTGGCAAAATGCCAGCCGAAATCACATCATTCTTCTGAACATTACTACCCGAAGAAACTTTGTTCAGATCCCTTATATAACTTCCATTACCAAATGTAAACAAAATCCTATTACGTTCAAACATTGGATTATCGATTATTCTGCTTACCTCCACCTGATCAATAGGTTCCCCCACTGATTTCCTCTTCAGATCAACCATATCACCATGCTCTATTTCCACAGCCATGGCACATTGCCCTCCTGGGACCGCATCCCCTGCCTCAACACCTTTAGAAGAGATAAACTCCCCCTTCTCCATAGCTTCCAACATCTTATCCCGTTCTGAAGCAACAGCCGCTCTGCTAAGACCTCCAGCTTCTTCAGTATCCCATATCCGGCCAGCCAGATTGAACCATCTAGCTCCTTCATTAACCTCTCTAATGAAATCCTCAGCTTCACTGGCCCCCCCCCCCAAGATCTCCATAACCTCATCCAGATCCGATGAGTCATCATTAACACCTCCCTATCTCCATCCATATTATCCATTGCATTTGAATCCATTCCTAGCACCTCATTGGAATGTATCTCCTGCGCATCAACCTTTTTGCGAACCTCCCGCAATAATCGAGCTCGCAACTCCAGTTCCTGGAGTTCGAGTGTATACCAGTCTCTTCCCATCCACCTCAATGTCTGCCAATCCTTCCAACCTTATTAATGAAAACCTCCTTTCACTATAACCTCCTATGCTATTTACATCAGCTCCCGATCCACCTCTATCCACAGTATTTCTCTCTCGAACACTAGCGTGTGTTCTAACTTCCGAACCCCTATCGTCTCCTCCTCCTCCACGTCCCGATGCGTGATGAGGGGGTGACCGACGGCCAGCCCCAACCATAATCCAAGGATCTGACGATCAAACCCCACCGATGAGAATCCAAAATGAGAGAAAAATTTCTCTCAAGAAATTGCCAGGTTTCGTCTGTAGCAAGAGAGAGGGAGCGAGAGAGAGAGAGAGAGAGAGAGAGAGAGAGAGAGAGAG